CAACATTTACTGGTTGCAAAGCAGTGATGATAGGTCTGATGAGGATTAGAAATTAGAAGTGCATCAGCTTATCTTCATAAAAATGAAAGAGAAATGTCAAAAACTTGACATTTGTAAGCTGATATAAATGCTAACTTGTTGAACACAGCCAGACATGAGATCAGTGGAGTAATATCAGCTACAGTAAGCTTCTGGTCGGCAATTCCCACATACCAAACAGCAGCAGCTCTGCATCGGGCTGGTGGTGAGTGTGTGTTTACAAACATGGTGGCCGGTCAGGCTGCATTCACTTCAACCCTCCATTCCAATTCGATTAGTACACAACAGTGATGTTAGGAGGTGTTTTAGGCTCCGTTGTACCAGCGTTGCGTGCAAATAGGCTGAGATGTCTTTATGCTGGGCTGCTCAAGACTTACTTCCTGCTTTAACTTTAACCCTAAAGCATAAATAATAACCCACACATGTCATTTAGGGTCAGCAAACTCATCAACAAGGCCAGCTTTTGTGTTGTACACAGTTCCTCAACTGTAACAAAGCCCACTGTGTCCCAAAGATGTCTTTCCTGCTCATTCTATTATTTCTGAATAATGTAAGTGGAACGTCCACGTGGTCAAGCAGAGCAAGCTAGAGGCTGACACCAGTAAACAAGTGAGCTGTGCATGCGGATAATTCATCAAAAGATGTTCTCTACTGGGTTATTGTGTCCAGCAAATATATGTTTTCATAGATTTAGAGTTCTGGGTTTTTAGTGCATCACTAAAACAGGTTCAGCTGAACAGAGCCAATGATTCCTCATATTACCTTTGTATAAGGCACTGGGCCAAACCATAATGCTGAAGAGTGCACTCCTTAAAGTCCCACAGAGATAAGTGTTAGGAGAAGTGGACAACACAAACTCAAGACATTATTCAGGGGTGGGAATGCATTTGTACGCCTCAAATAATTCAGACGTGAAGTCTGAAATAAACAGGGTGAGGTTGTAGGTTTCAACATGAGGAATGTGAATCTGCTCTAGCCCCAGTCAGCCTACCGTCTCTACAGAGAGCTCTGCTAAAGGTCACAAGCCACTTCCGGAAATGAGCAACTTCCTTTTGGCTGTCTTAAACACAAGCTGAGTGTGTTCTTGGTACACACACTGGAACCAGTGCGTCACATGCAGGTCATTAAATTTATTATTGTGCTGAGGTTTCACACGTCTAAAATGTTGTAATGTCAGTTTGCAAGGTAGCACTCTGGTTAAAGGTGTTATGAAAGTCATAAAGGTAGGAAAACAAGTTGCAACAGTTACGGCACACACACACACACACACACACAGGCTCTCTTAAACTCACAAGACACCTTGCAAGTAGCCAAAGAAGTGGAAAATCTTCTGAATATTTGATCTCATCTCAGCTAAATCTGTTGCAGCTCAGTAACAACAGGGCTTAAGAGGCCTCAGATCGAGCTGCATGCTAGGAAACAAGATCCAAGACAAAAATCGTCTGAATGCACTCGGATAAATACATGAAGGAAAGTTATTGTGGAGTTTTAAATGCTCCTCGTGTGTACAACTGTAAATTATGAGGGATTTTTAGATTCAGAACACGCCCAATTGCTCTTGAGATTGCCACTGAATAATTTAATCTGACCATTTTATGAATTTTCACTTCCCAACATGAAACCTGAGAGTCAGACAAACGTTTGGAATGAGGCGAAACGGCTTCAGAGGACCATGACACGTGAGAAAGAGGATCTACACAAACACATTAAGCAAACATAAAAGTAGTTCTTCCTTTTTATATTTTATACAGCCACTGTAGGTAAAACACCTGCTTTGTGAAAAGCATGAAAAAAGCCACAGACGTCTGTTTCTCACGCCGTAAGTTCATTTGTTTGAAAAAAAATTGAGAATTATTTCACTTCCTTAAAATGTCACAACTGTTAAAAACGTGTGTTACTGTATTAAACCCAAATACTTGGATTGTTTCCACAGCCTTGGTATTTAATTCCAGTTAGCTCGGCTAAAGAATGACATTTTAAATAACACATTTACAGTATTTTAACTATTCTGGCAACAAAAATAGCCCTACATCAGCACATTTACAGCAGGACAAACCCTGTTTAATAGCGTCTTAGTGAGATTCATGCAGCACAAAAAAATACTGATTCATGAGCATGCAGAGGGTTTTAAGTGCACTGGTAAAGACAAATATGCACAATAAAAGAGGAAGGTCTAATAAATGGAAGAGGCAAGGTATAACAAGTTAAACCACGGTGATACAAGGAAGTGATTATTTTAAAATGCTTAAAGGAAGCAGCAACATGTTATCTGCTGTTATAATGACTACAAGTCCAACCCTAATAACACAACTACCTTATGTATTGTACGTATTATGTATTATGGACGTCTTACAACAGGAAATAGGTCAGAGAAGCTTTAAAAGACGGACATGTGACACTTTGATCAGCCCGTTTTACTCAGAGCTGACCTGTCATAATGCTGCATCATTTCTCAGAGACCGTTACAAAGACGGCAGCGTTCATCATGATTACTTGGCTCACTTTGTGGACGAGTCATGTCCACTTCTTTTTGTATGCGTGAGGCGGTTCATGATTCACGTTCCCCCAATGTTTAAAAAAACCTCAAACACAATGAGGTCTTTGTAGCTCAAATCAATGATGGATGGCTGATTTCCCTTTTACTTCTGGTTTTATTCTCTCATATCAACATCTGCAAAAGGAGTCTGATAGCAAAACCTGAAAAGTTAAAGAGTTAGGCAGAAAGGGCCAAGATAACAGGAACTACGCATTTCAGTCTGCATTAAGGATTGCTGTAGAGTCTCTGACACTAGTCAGCGACTCGATGCAACCTGCTGGGTTCCTTATATAGGAAACTTTTTCTGATTGGCTGAATGAACTGACCTGTATTGGAATGTTTACTGTGAAGTGCCTTGAGACGACTCTTGTCGTGATTTGGTGCTATATAAATAAACCTGGATTGAATTAACTTAAAACTGCTAAACATCAATTCATGCAAACAATCCTAGACCTTCTATGAAGATGTGTTTCCTTATAGTTACACTTTATATCAAGCTGATATTTTTTTTATACATCGGCCAATATTTGCTCTTAGAAAAGCCAATTTAAAGTCAAACCCATCTGTGTGCTGTTGCACAATTTAGTTTAAATGTAATTTTACGTTCACTAATAACATCTGCGTAGTAAATACTCTAAATGTCTGGCTTTAACACTGAGCGGTGCATAACAGACAGATAGTGCATGGCAGATAGTTAAAGCCAGAGTTCAAAAACTGATTCAGCTTCAGACATTTTGTGCACCAGCTGATGTTATTAGTGACATTTTAGCATGAAAATAAGGTGGAAAACATCTGGATATAGGCCATGAAAGTCTGCACATAAAAATCAGCAGTATATCAGCCACTGGCTGACCATGTCTCCTAAAAATCGACATTGGTATTGGTAATATACCAAACCAAAATCAGTCGACCTCTAGAACAGAATCTTTTCTATTTAGATTGCGAGAAAATCTCGAATTCTCCTAGTTTTTGTTCTAGTTTTGGTTTTCACCAGCTAGCTGCTAAACTTGTGTGTGTTAAAAACACATCCAGAGACATCCTTGAGCTTTGTGCACACCTAAATGAACACCTGAGTTGGTTTGACTTTTCATTTCCAGTTGAATCTCAGCCACAGACTTTATACTTTGTGGTTTTTAAAGCCGGATGAGAGAGCTGAAGTGTGAATTACCAAAGCCTGCATGGTTTAAATGAACTTATATAATAGAAACTGCATCATGCTGGAAAAGAATAATATAATCAACATTTTCATCATTACCCTTGTTTAACAAAGGGAGGCTTAAAGTAAAAGCCTCTAACCATGGTGCTGTGAGGTTCCTGCCACAGCAAGAGAATCATTTTAGTTCTCCTTTCATATCTGGAGACAATAATGAGCCCATAGCACACACAAAAGACCTTTATGGTTAAATAGTTAGGCTTAATATTTAACGTGGGATTCATAGACAATGACACAGGGTCGTTGTGAGGACTTTTAGGTAGATTCTGAGAAGAGTTAGCAAAATTAAACACATCTGTACATCACTTGTTATATATCTATTCATATTTGGCCACAGATACTGATACTAATTACTACATTTCTTTTGTGAGTTATCCAACGTGTTAGAAAGAAACCACCTTTTTTTACTAACTTTGTTGTCTTGAAAATGAATTGAGATATAGTTTGATTTATTGGATTTAAATGATTACTCTTAATTTACAACATGTTTTTTTTAAAGTAACAATAACACAGATTTAGCCTAAATGTTTAGTACATGCTAAAGAGCGAGGCGTTTAGCTAGAACCCACATGATGAATGGACACAATGTTTGTTTCATATAATTACATAATTCACAGCCTGCTGTCAGGAGCCAATGCTGCTCGTTTCCAGGCAACTTCTTCAATCAAAAATGGATGAAAATATGTACGAGAGGCTAAGCTTTTCAATGAAAAATGAGATTATAGTAGGCCTGTCTCAGTCTACACAAGGTGTAGGTGTTTTCATTGTGGTATAATCTGTACAAATGTTTACTTTATTAAATATTATCAAGCATTATCAGTCATGTTTATCATGTTGCTTACTTTTAAAACTAGAGAATATCAAACCAGCAAACTTTTTAAAAGCCCAAATAATCAAATAGTTGACACATAGGCTACTGTCAGCTTTACTGAGAAGTCCTGGTTAGGAAAATATCTGGCCTCATTTACAGTTTCATCCAAAAAGACCCAACAGAGACAGGAACATGGAGAGAAGCAGCAGAGATGGTCCTGCTGATGCTGGATTCAAAGGAAACTTGTAGACCAGGACACAAAACAAACGATGCTGCTCCTGGATCAGCTGCTGTGTGTGTGTGTGTGTGTGTGTGTGTGTGTGTGTGTGTGTGTGTGTGTGTGTGTGTGTGTGTGTGTGTGTGTGTGTGTGTGTGTGTGTGTGTGTGTACAGTGCACTCACGCCCTAGTCTTGGGGAAGCCCATGGACAGAAGCACGTCCAGCGTAGAGCCATGTTTGATGGTGCTCGGCCGGTTCTGGCGCTGCCTCCGCGGTGTCACTTTGGCATACAGTTCCTCTTTGGCTGCCATAACTCAAAGCCCCATCGGCATGTCAGGTCCACAGCTCCTCTGGTATACTTTCATTTATCAGCAGATTAAAAGAGAGGAGGAAGAGGGAGGAGGACGGAAACGCATATGCTATTTAACCCACAGTGACTTCGTATTAACGGAAGCGAGTTAATATCACCAGACGCTGCGAGGAAATGAGCATGTTTTGGGTCTGAGGTGGAACGAGCTGCCTCCTGCTGCTGGCGGCTCGAGCATGAAGTCCAACCCGTCAGCAGGGGGCTCAGCCATGGGAAGTCACTTCTGCTCTCTGGGCCATGTCCCCGACAGATGCGAACATATTCCAGCTCCTGCGAGTCCACCGAAGAAAAACCAATCGACAACTTTCTCTCTACACGATGTTTTGTTTTATGAATGGACACTGGGGGAGCTGCCTGCCTGGGATGGAGCTTTTAAACGATTGCGTCCGAGCTGCGCGCGACCCCTTCAATTAAAGGGACAGTACAGTATTTGCGAGCAGACAGTAAATCTTGTTCCGACCATTTTTTACTGCGGAACTATGACTAACACAAGCTCTTCCCGATAAAACACTTGTTATAGTAAGTGCGCGAACAAGTATTAGGATTAGTTTGGGCATTTTGAGGATAAATCCTGTGTAAGGGTTGAATGGTGGAAAATGTTGCTCACACTTCCTGTTTGCGTAATAGGATGTCGATCCTATACGCATGCGCACCTTTCAGGAGGGGAAGTTGCACGCCATCACGTTACCACAGCAACGCAACACTAGCCAATACAGAAAGCTTTTAGCATATTTATTTTCTCATAGCCTACAAAATACCATAAATCATTATTTTGAACTTCAATGTCTTTAAATTGGGTTGTATTTAAAATCAAGACTCAAACTGAAATATGTTTGTGTTAATTCATAATGGTGTTAGCCATGTTAATTTATTTTTCATTTTGTATTTCAATTATAAAAAATGTGTAAATATGTGTAAGACAAGCAGCACACAAACTACAGATTGAATTTTAATGGAGACACAACATGAACTTCTGTACATCAAAATCATGCAGATGATGAAATCAAGTATGTGAATTTTGAGATTGACACAAAAGACCTATTTTTATTAATGGAGTATACCCTGTTTACAAAAGAAATGACAAAAGCAGTTTTCAAATATTGTTAGTGTATTTTCACATCAGTTGAAATCATTACAACCAAATTACTTTTAAAAAAATGTGTATAAAAACATTTCTGAGTTTGGAAACTACAACTACCGAGTTCATATAAATGTCTATTCTATCTGATCCCTAAAAAACACACAACCCACGTTTTTGCACAAATATTCATGCTTTTAAATTTGTGAATTTCATTGTCTATTTAAAAAGTAAAAGATTTCATATTGCATTCAACAAGATGTTACGCAAATCAAAAAAGTGACACAATTTGTATGCACAAAATGTAAAAAATAAAAACATTACAATATCATATAATGTTTTATCAACATCAAAAGCGCTGAGACAACCAAGTCTAATAATTTTCTAAGTGAACGCAGCTTTATTTACAAAAATAACCCTTCAATAGAACTAATTTGTACAATGCATCAGAGAAAAACGAACACCCCAACAGAGCTGAGCCACATCAGTTTAACATTTAAGCTAAACTGCAGTTATAAATATTAAAGTAAGGTTATAACTGCAGATAATGTATTTCTTGGTTGGTGCACAACTACTCGAGAAGGTATTTTAATTAGCAGCATTTGTTATATAGTCCTAGGAGGTTTTGTTCTCTCTTCTTCATAGTAAACAATTACCTTGGATATACAGAATTTAGATTAAACAAAATAATAATAACTCCATAAGTAGAAACGCACTGGGCAGCTGCTTCAGCCCAACACGACAAATGTAAAAAAACAGACTCCCTTATTTCTTATTAAAAGTATTTAATCTGCAGATTATCTGAATCAATTGTCACTCTGAAAGCACATCACTCATATGTATAGAAACAGCACTCAAAAAAACTATAAAAATCACAATAAACAGGGAAGTTCAAGTCTGTAAGCGGACTGTTGATTACACCACAAATGACGACTTCTGTTTGAATTCCCCCTGTGAAACAAAACAAGTCTCAGACATCTTTGACCTTTTCAAACATACACTCCAATTAAAATATTAAAAATACATTAAAATACTCACGTTATCATCATCCCCACCATGTGATGTGGGCTGGTAGACTGCATCCATCCTGTGTTTACTGTGGGGACAAACAAATAAATAATAAGTGTGTGTGTGTGTGTGTGTGTGTGTGTGTGTGTGTATATATATAGATATATATACACATACCACTCCTAATGACCCAAGAATGTGTACAATCAAACATTGATATTATTAGTAAATAAATCTGTAAATCAGTATTTTAAAAAGTTTACATATCAAATATCCTCGATATAAAAACGTCTTACCCTTCAGTCTTTGCTGCTATGGAAAGAAAAGAAACAGGAGCACGTTAAAATTAATGGTGCCTAACATTAAACATACAACTTTCAGTCAAATTTCGACTATGTATACTCATGAATGTTTGTGATGCAATGCAGAAAACTTACTGGGCAGATAGCCTTTCTTCTTGGCATACCAAACACCAAATATCACGAGGCCCAGAAGCAGCAGAAAAATTATTACCCCTGCAACAATTCCTCCAGTGTTCAAGTCACCTTGAAGAAATCACAACGGGAGTCATTAGATTAATAAAATCTATTCTAAATCAATAAATTTAACATTACCACATTAATGTTTTACGTTTAAGTCATCTGAGTTAGAAACCATTTGTACCAACTCTGGTAAAAGAGAAAACAAATGATGCTACTTACGGACTTCCATTCTCCGAGCTTGACATTTCTGAGTTGGGCCAGCTTCGTTGGAGACCTCACAGTAGTACTGACCTGAATCCATCTTGGCAGCAGAAGGAAAATCCTGCAGCAACGTGACACAGTTTTGGTGTATTGATCAAGTTTCTTAAAAGTTTTTCTAAAACTTAAGCTGTAAAGGTTTTAGACAATATTACGATGCAAAGCTGACCAGTTTCCCAGTAGCTGGGTCCAGTTTGTAGGTGGCATTTTGGAAACCAGCAAACTTGCTGGGGTCACTGGGCAGGAGGGTCCCATCTTTGTACCACCTGTATGTGGGAGGGGGTGAAGCAGCGGGGTCAAAACAGGTCAGGGTGGCAGATTTACCCGTCGTCACCGAATCGGGGACTCCACATATGGGTACAGATGGTGGCACTGTGAAACACGATGGAGGGGTTATTATGTGGACCCATTATGTGTAAGATCAGTCTGAACATCAGTGCAAGTGGTGTCCACATACTCACCCAATACCGTCAGCTTTACAGTGGCTTTCTGTAATCCACTAGTGGAGCTGGACGCCTCACAGGTGTACACTCCAGTGTCCTCACGAGTCACTTTGGAGAATCTCAAATTACTGCGGGAGTACAACGTCACACGGCTGGCATACGGATCTGGAGGAGGTGCACAGTTACAATGGTAAAATGGCCTGTATTTGATATAGCGCCTTCTAGAGTCCTGGAACCCCCCAAGGCGCTTTACAACACAACCAGTCATTCACCCATTCACAGACACATGAATGAGCTATGACCTAGTCACAGCTGCCCTGGGGCGCACTGACAGAGGCGAGGCTGCCGAGCACAGGCGCCACCGGTCCCTCCGACCACCACCAGCAGACAAGGTGGGTTAAGTGTCTTGCCCAAGGACACAATGACAGCGACAAACTGAGCGGGGCTCGAACCTGCAACCTTCTGGTTACAGGGCAAGCACTTAACTCCTGTGCCACTGTATCAGAATTATTAGTTCACCCCTTTGTTTCTTCTTAAATAATAGAAAGTAAAAAAAAATTAGATGTATAAACTCGGGCAATTATCACAATTTGTGAGTAGATGGTTGTAAGCATCGATTTCCTCAAATTCTCTTTACAATGCAATCAGAAATATACTAATTACTACAACTTTCATTTGATAATATTAGAACCCTAAAAACAATCATCTTAAAATTGATTTAGAACTAACTGATACGTAAAAATAATTTGAAATAACTGTTGTGTTTGCAGTGGCAAGAGGCACTACTTTCAAATGAAGTCTTGGCGAAAACATGACAGCTTACCTGTAACCACTCCATTAAAAACCACAAACGTCTGAGAGCCCAGTTTGTCGAATTTCCACTCAACTCTGGGATTTGAACCAAAGTCGGCTGAAACTGTGCAGGTCAGGTCCGCTCCTGAAAGAACATTAAACAAAATCAGTGTGAAAAGACTTCATTATATAAGTTACCTAAAGGAACAAGAAACACAACAGCTGCAGCTCAGATTAAAGACAGTTGTCTGCTAATAATGAGCTGTGTGACGCACTGATGAGAGGCTAAAGCTTGTGTCGGTGTGTGCACTTTCATAAAACTCTTTTGATGATACAGACGTTAAAGGCTTAGTTTTTTTTAAACTTAATTAATCAAATAATGAAGACATTATGTCACTTCCTGCTCCTTCAAGCAGCTGCGACCCCTTTTGGATGAAATCAAACTATGTAAATTATCGATTGTGTCTAAAAGGTTCTTTGTTGCACTTTTCAAAGCTGAAGAGAGAAAAAGATTATTGTTCTTATTTATAAAAACAAACCAAATGAAAATAAATCAAAGAACCAAAGAAATAATAAATATTTAGAAGTGGCAAAAGCTTCATTTGATTAAGTGAATGTAATCACGTCAACAAAAGACTAAATCAGCTTTATTGGAGTTAGCACATATTTTACTTGTTTTGCCCTACTTTAAAATTGTACTACTGCAGCTGCTTGTTAAACAACTATAAAGTATGCAGCCGTCATGCTTTACAACAATGACTAAACTGGTTTACTGTAACTTTATTACAAGGTAAACAACTGATGTAACAAAACAAAACCAGCTTTGTTTTAAGTGTCAGTAAAACTGAGAATACTGTATGCAAATAATCACACTCACCTGCATTCTCCTTCACTTTGACATCTGCATTGGAGGTAGTGACAGAGAAGCTGCTCACACCTAAAAATGTTTGGAATATAAGATGTTTAAATTAACAATCAGAAGATATTTACAGAGCCACACTTCCTGGTTTTAGCATGGATGAGATTGGTGATTACACAGAGGGCACAGATCTTATCTTTATCATTTGTCAATCATGACACAGGCGAATGGCACGTATTAGTAGTTAACCGGTTAATTGCCATTAACGGCTTCAAGTCCCTTTGCTGTGCTGGGGTGTAATAAATTTGTGCCACTAGGGGGCACAAGAGTGTTGCTATCCAAAAATGTTACTGGGCAACCACTGAAGAAGAAATGACCTTGTCACATGACCAAACAAATGTGCTCAAACATGAAGCGGTTAGCAAATAGCACAGCGTGGGAGCAGTCTATTCTTAGTGATTTAATTCTTGGAACAAAATAAACGCTGAGCCTGGCAGAATATGGCGCAGAAAACTGGATCCGAGACTAGCAACAGGTCAGTCGGCCATGACGCTCCTGTTCGAGTCTTTTTTTTTTTTATCAATTCTCAAGTCAGTACAAAATTCAAAATCATATTTATACACAATGGTACAATGAGGTCTTAATGATCGAAACGACACACAACCATATAGGAAACAAAAGAAAAAAGAAAAGGGGGATCTGCTTAACTAGAAGTGATAAACCTAAAGGATTTTAATAGTCTAATCGTTTTTGTGAATTTTATTGCCCATTTTTAATTTTTCTATGGAGGCCAGATAATTTTAAAGAAACTCATTTTAAACTATCTAAAAGAGGTATTTTTCCAGACCATTTTTTCTTATGAATATAGTATTTTGCCAAAATTATAACAAGATTAATTATATATACACTTCAGAGTGAAAGTTTGGATCATTAAACCTGAATGCTTGAGTCTTTTCTGCCTACTCTTAAAATAATGCTGTCACAAAATAAAAGTCCCACACTTGTTGCAACATTCAGAACCTGAAAACGTTAGTGGGATGAGAGCTGAAATGACCGTCACAACCTGTTGCGTAATGGGCTGTCCGACATCAAAGCATTCTGGAGGCCACACATTTTAAAAACACTTTAGTTTCCTTACATTAAACTAAATAATTACGCTGAAGTTTCTTTATTTTACCAAACACACTAGAGGAGGCAGACACCAAGCAGTCACATAGCAGAAGCAATGGCTGACTGACCTTTTGCTGGTCTTGTTTCATTTTGCTGTGCGGCTTTAGTTCCATGTTTTTCTAGGCTCAGCCCTCTGATGTTGGCCTCATTATGTTAACTACCAAATCTAAAAGGCTCCCACGCTGTTCATTTTCCTAACTACTCCATTTTTGAGTAGATTTATTTGATAATTTGACAAACTCTTCTTCTGTGGTTTTGATAGTGGTGCTCTCGCCACCTCTGATCACCATCAGAACCAGGTCAGAACCGACCACCAGAAGAGATGCACGGCTCAGTGGGCCAGTAGAGCTGGTTTCTGGGTCTGAACCAGATCAGAACTGCCGTCTGGACCACCAGGAGAGGATGTGCAGCTTTTAAAAATACCAGTGAGCCAGTAGCGCTTGTTTCTGGGTCAGATCCAGCTTACAGAAGCCTGCACGAGCTCCCGAAACGGATCACAGGCGTCTCTCGTTACTTGAACGGATAATAACAAATATGAGACAGCTGACAGATGCTCAGTTTATTATTGTCAAGTATTTATTAAATTAACTGACCAATACTATTTTAATTGTCTGGTACATGATACAATATTGTGATGTTAGCAAATGCGTTTAAGCTAGCACCGTTAACTCACAAGACACCTGCTGCACCCCCGCTTTTTTTCCCCAGTCTCTCTGCTTTGGCCGATGGTTTCTCCCTCTGGTTTGTCTCTGCTCTCTGGGGCGTGCAGCAAACTCGTAACTTTATGGTTTTGTTCCATCAGAAGTGTAATTACATTTAAAGTATGTATAAAAACATTTAAAGTTTCCTCTGTGTCAGAGCCGGCATTAGAATCCAGATTTTTCTCTGGAACAGGACTCTCTCAGCTGACGTCAACTGGTTTGGCAAAAAAATAATAATAATGAAAAAAATAAACATCTTTCTCACAAAAAACACTCTAAAGGCCTAAATTATTTATGTATGTGTAAATTTTGTAATCATTTTCTATGTTTCTCTAAGCATTGGCTCATGGGAACCCAACTTGCAATTAGCTCTTTAAAGACAACTCAGAACATCATGACTGTATATTCAGGAAATTCTGCATTTCCATCATCAGAGATGGCTATTGCACATGTGCGGCTTCCTAAACTGGATTTATGCACAATCTACACACACGAGACAGGTTTAGGTTAAAAAAAATATTTTTTAATGAACTGGGACTGAAAAATGTCTGTAATTACAAGCTTAAATATCAGCTTAAACTTTAAACTTTAACTGGCCTAAATTAATGACTTGATCTTTTACTTTAAATGAGTACTGGCAAAATTTCACACATGATCTCAGTTCAAATTGTTCAATCAAGTCATTTGACCTCTATATAAAACATAAGATTTATATGCTAAAACTGACAGTTTCATTTTTAAATGAACAACTCTAGTTTCATTCTATATTTACTTTAAACTAAGGTTAATTGGAAAAACAATGCTGACATGACTGAAAATCAAAAGTTTACACTATTTAAAAAATTACTCATCCATCATCAGCCTGAAGTCTGGTACAAATCAGACAATATATGCCTTTATCCCTCATCAGCATGCTCACATGCTGTCAGAGCTCAGAGGGCTGGCTCATTCCTTTGTACTGAGCAGGAAGCTTTCAGTGAAACCATCAACCATATGGGTGAAACTGGCCCTAATATGGTGTGCAGAGCTGCTTCACAAACAACTAAATCATTCAATCGGTCACAGGTCTCATATGTCCTTTCATTAAATTACTTTGCATTCAAAAATACTTAAAGCTGCCCTGACTCACACCAGTAGAGGACTACCATCCCCAAAAAAGCCACACGGAGGTACTCCACTTCCAGGAACCGGTTACAGATTATTACCCATGAAAGCAAATTTATTTAATTACAAACGACAACTTTAATTCAAAACAGCTTTAAATTGATCTATATTTAACTAAAGTCACAAAGGGCAATTTGATGTCAGGCTTACTAAATGTAAAGGTCCTTTGGAAAAAGGACAAGACAAACCACAGTTCTGATTTTGGTTTAAATAATAATTTCAAAATAAAAGAAAACAGCTGTTCACACTTTATTTTTAAGTGAATGCTGACATGTAAAAATAAGTTAATGTGAATCAAGTGTTCTGCTCGCTGGAGGAAAACACCGCAGGTTTAAAGCTGTAGTTTGAGCTATCAGTGGATTTATTCAACATACCAACATTAATAATTATTTTATTTTAGGTTGGGGTGTGCAGAATACCTCAAGAGTTTGAGTGGTTCCCAAACATGTTTGATCCCAATTACACTAGAGTCTGGCTGAAGTAATTTCAAGGATTTTTAATCATTTAAGAAAGCTTTCAAATTGATTAATTGGTGACCAAAATCATCATATTACCCCACGAATTTAACTTTTGCGCAATTAAAGCACACAAGAAAGCAGCAGTAGTTTATATCAGACGTATCCTTGTAAATATTACTCCAAAGACAACAGGTCCAGTTACTCTCATAGGAATAAATATAATGTTCATACTATTTTTAACAACTCACAACAGAAAAACAGCGTATTGTGACATTTGTGCTCAACAATAAACAAAACCCGTAGGCCAAATACTAAAGCAACCCGAAACTCAAACATTCCTGTCTTCGGCTCGCCCACAATCAGCTTTAATGTCCAAATAGTGTTCTCACCAGTTATTTTACATAAGTAGGACTTAGAAGTTGTTTAATTAACTCAAACAAAAGGGAAAAACAACTCACCTGCTGCGCTAAAGAACAAAAGCACCGAAACTAGCCACCTCATTTCTACTCGCGCGCGACTTTTTCCCAATATTTTTCCTTAAAAACAGTTAGAAAGAGTTAAAAAGGCAAAGTGAAAACTCAGAACTGGTCCGTCCGTCGAATAACTAAATATATTCGTACTTCTCGTTTGTTTTTGCTCTTGTTTCCGAGAACCAGCAGCCACTCGCTCCCACAGGTGGAGCCAAGCCTGACAAGAACCACTTCCGGTTATGGGATCTTTACAGGTGGCTCGGTGACGTCACGGGGTGGAAAAACAGGTTAGACTGAAACAGAACATTTACATGAAGCCAGAGAGCAGAAGTGCCCTAATATTAGCAGGAGTCTGTCTTCCCCCCCAAACTTTATTTCCAACTTGCAGCAGAATTACAAAGAGGATGAACAAGCAAAAACAAATTTGTGACATAAAATATAACATGAATTAACAGGAGGTGCCAGGGGTTTGTTGACATACAGAACCTGATGTTTGCCAAATTTGGTTGAAATAAATACAAGAAGAAAGAGAAAAGAATAACGATGCATGTTTAAAGTTGTCCAGGTCAGAGCAAAGTCATTATGATATTATAATAGAACATATTTTCAGTGTCTTTACAGCTTTAATATTTTGTGAGGTAGATAATGCGTGCAAGTATATCTTAACTTACTTTTTGAAAATGCAGAATCAAGGTTGGGGTTTCAGCACTTTGCATTTATGAACATAAAATTTAGCCAAAAGTACAAACAAATTAACTATTAAAAAAAAGCAGGTTCATTTTTTTTTCATACTTTGTACATCCAAACAGCACATTTTTATATTGAAGTTGTAAGGAAGGCAACATTTTTTCTTTCACAAACAGAAAGCCTTCCATAGTTCTTGAATAAGTGTACATGACCAAAATAAGTGAGTAACAGTCTCTGGGTCCGAGTTGCAAAAGGTACAGGCTGTATCAATGTCTTTCTTGTATCTAGTCAGGAAGGATTTAGCAGGATAACACCGATGGATGATCTTATATATTTCTTTAACTTTGATAGTCAATAAGAACCTATTTGGAAGTGTCCACGTTGTTTTCCAGTCAGTATCAGGGCACATGCTGTTCCAATGTGCAACCACAAAAGAGACACAGACACAGACCATCTGAAATAAATTACGAATACGGGAGTCAGTTAAACACAATTTCCCCACAGGTGTATCCAATGGATTCAGAGATGAAAATTGAGTTGTATGCACGGAGGTATAATCTTTTAAAAGCATCAGCACCCCTGAAGGAATGGCATAAAAAACAATTGCATATTGTTTAGGTGCCCCTGGCATATTGTATTTACCAAGGAACTGAGTATAACTCATAAGGTGACCATTCTTATCAAGCAGTTGTTTCACCATTAAAATGTTGGTCCTAAACCAGTTGTCAATATACAATGATTTGTTCTTGTAAAGCAAGCCCCTATTATTCCATATAAGATACTTGCTTTGAGAAAAATTGTGCTTGTAGATAAGTGACCATGCCAGTAATGCCTGTTTAAGAAAGTTAGAAAGAGCTACTGGAATACATTCGATATTGTAATTGCATGTAAAAAAGAATTTTAATCCACCAATTTTAGAGAATACATGATGTGGGATGAAATGCCATATCGATAAGGGGGTTTTCAAACAATATTTAATCCAGTTGACTTCAATGTGTTATTCAAAGTGATGAAGTCAAGAAAATTTGACAGCCGTTAGCATAAGTATTCATTATTACAGATTTTTTATGTAATGGGTTTTGTTTTTCCAAACAAAATTAACAAGAATTGTATCAATATCTAATGAGATAGCAGCATAATTAAGCCTGGATAAGCCTTCAGCCAGTAATGTCCTGCCTTTAAACAATAGGTCTCTTTGAAGCTGTCACGCTGAGAGCAGGAGGTCAGGACCCAAATTGCAGAACACCAGATCACTCGAGGCAGGAGCGGTTGTTGAAAGAAAAATCCTTTATTTAGGATGATGGGTGAATATCCCAAGGGGCAGGAAGCCAAACCGAAAATCAGAAAAATAAACTAAACTACAAAACAAAGCTCCTTCATGAGCAAGACCCTGGAGATCCTGAGGAGGACAGAACACTGACAAATACAATGGACCAACAAACACTGAGGGACAAGACAGGGGTTTTTAAACACAGAGGGAAGCAATCAGGGGAACAGGTGACAGGTGTGAGGAGTGAGATCTAGAGGGAAGACAGGTGCCATCAATAAACTATAAAAATATCATTCATAAAACCATTACCTGACAGATAAAATGACCATTTGAATCAGTATCTGTATGCAAAACTTGTCCTGTAAATAGATTCTTGAATGTACCTACCCCAGCTGAGCATTGAGAACCATGAGAAAAAAAAATCATCATTACCCAACTGAGTTTTCCAAAAAGACATATCTTCAACAACAGAATGGTTTCCTGGAAAAAGCATAAGTCAGTTCTGCACTTTTTGGCAAATAAAAATAGCACTTTGCGCTTCAAATAATTCCTCAAACTCCAGGCATTTAACGAAACAATAGACAAAGGCAGAGTTGGACTTTTAAGAAAACGATCGATAAAGCCTGCAGATTCTAATAAATGTCTCTATTTCTTGAGAACGGTATCCATGTAAACATCAGCCTTAATGGCAACTTTAACATATATTTAACCCAGGTCTATTCAAATGGCGGCCCGTGGGCCACATCCTGCCCGCGGGCCCTACCCAGCTGGCCCACCTCACCCAATCCCCCAACCACCAACGGAAAAAACTGTTGAAAAACTGTTTTAGCATGCAAGTTTCTAAATTCCCACACTGATATTGCACTTGAACACAACACCACTTTAGCAATCACGGACATATATACGTAGACGCCCCGTGGACTGGTGCTGTCTATTGGAGCTGCCATAGTGTGGCTTCTACATATTCATGTCTACGCTAGCAGTGACCCAGCAATGACCCAGCCCAGCTTGTGGAGCAAACAAGCACCTTTCAGGCAAAACTAAACATGTTCACAACTGACTTGACTGGTGAAAGATTGCCACATTTTACCACACTCCGTAAAGCCACCTCTCCTCCGAAAGTCACGGCAGAAATGACTGGTTTAGTCGCGAAACTGAAGGACAACTTCGCCAGTCGCCTGGAGGATCTGTCACTTCCTACAGAGGCGATGCAATTAACGAAAGATCCATTTGCTGCCATAGCTGAGGAAACATTGTCCATCAAAGCTAAGAAAGTGGTCTCTTCTATCGATGAGGGACAGTTCCCGCTGGAGTTGGTGGACATGCAGTCATCACTTAAAATGCCACAAGAGCTGCGCACAAATGGCCCCGCTAAGTTTTGGAGTCAGATCAATGCCCATCAGTTCCCAAACCTCAGGAATGTAGCTGTGACTGTTCTCAGTATGTTTGGATCCACCTATATTTGTGAATCCAGCTTTTCCCATATGAATGCAATCAAAACGAACCTGCGCTCCTTTCTCACTGAATCCTTTCTGCACTACTGTCTGCGCATTGCACTCAGCTCCTATGAGCCAAATATTCCATTTCTTGTTCAAAACAAAAAGTGCCACCTCTCGCACTAAAGTTGCAAGAATAACAGTCAAGCTATGGTTATTGTAAATGTTTATTTAATAGCTGCGACTGAATTATTGGAGGTCAATAAAACAAATGTTTGTATTACCAGCTCTGCAGCTGGTAAATTAATACAGATCATTAAAGCAATAAAAGACATTGTGCATTGCTTTTTTTTTTTGTCGTTGTATTAGTGGTAGAGGTAATATCAGTCAAAATATTAAAATTTAATATTTAAACGTTGTCCGTAAAATATATAATAAAGATTTGGGTATCCGGCCCAAAGCTGATCCATGATTTTGAAATCTGGCCCAGTAGGGAAAGTAATTGAATAGGCCTGATTTAACCCATCATAAAATATATTAACATGACCTAATGGAACACATGTCGGCCAGAAAACATCTTATGACCTACATTTGGGGGGAAACTTCTTTCTTTTCAATGAATGCACGACCACCTACAAAATAGGCAGCTTTTCCTTCCTTTCGAGCTTTCTCCACAAGAGGCCAGAGTTTCATCCTGTTTTCCTTGTCAGTTTTGCAGAGATCCTCGGTGAAGCGCAGGTGGTTATCTCAAAGATAAGATGAATTCTTCGCAGCTGCCCATGTTTCTGCTCTGCTGTTCCCAGAAGAAAAACTGTAGCAAGACACTTCTAATATTGTTGGGTTTCTTGGAACCAAGGCAGTATCTATGGCTTCAGGGAGCTTTTCAAAGGTAGACGGGGTGATGTTGCGACAGATCTGGATAACCTTCTGGCGAAGATCCATGTCTTCCACGCTCTTGGAGATTCCATGCAGCTTCAGGTTCCATCTCCTGGAATACCTCTCCATCTCAGTGACAAGAACTTTCACGTGTCACTTCAACCTACACCTCCGTCATTTGTTTGCAGGCGTTCTCCACCTCACATTTCAGGTTTAGGAATCAGACTTTTTAGCTCGTCGGAACGTGTGTTCATTAGCTGGAAAGCGCTCCAACAATATCGTCAGACGATTCATTTTTACCTTTTTTAGTAGGAGGCTTTACTGGAGCACAGGGGAGAGGAGGATGGTCCTCAAAATCATCTGTTGTTAATGTCATGGAGCTGACAGCAGCATAATTGTGGCAGTTATCGAGTAGTGCATTGACGGTGTCCTCGCCAGCAGCCGCCGCCATCGAGTCTGGTTTCCGAGCGCTATTTCTTCTTTTCCCTGTGGCTGACATGTTGTAAAAAGAACTTCAAAAGTTACATAAATCAGCGGTCAGTATGAAAAGGGTCGAAAATTTGGTGTACAATATAGCCTTTCAAGTTAACTGCACTTTGGATACCGAGCACAGAAAAAAACTCTCACGGCGCCATCTTGGACCCCGCCACCAGCAGAAGTCTGTCTGCTGCTGTTCTCCTCCACAACGTTTATTTATTTTAGGTGTTTAACTTCCGCCCTCTTCCTTCCGGGTATGGAGCTCCATTTGTTTAAACAAAGATGGTTTAAAATGCAGCTGGAGCACGTGCCAAAAGGCACATTACTGCAAAAAGAGTAAGAAACACAGTTTTACCCTAAACATGTGATAAAAACTTTAACTTCACCATAATGCTGCGTTTCACTTTTTGTTACATTTCAATAATGCAAGAGTTCCGTTTTAATAAGGTTTGTGAAAAATTAATGTCTGTTTTTTTAATCTTTGTGCAGCCTCAGTTAA